CCAGGATTTCATGAGAGCCTGCATGCATGACTTGATTTGATGATGATTACAAATAGCACAGTAATGGTGAACTGTTAATTGTGGTTACGCAGTTAAAATAGCAGAACAAACTCAATAATAAAACATGCTCTCCAATATGTGTAGGTTAAGTACACCTAAATATAATTACGACTGCGAATGATGTTATATACACATGTGTTTTCCCTTCTACGCTATATTTTCTGCTAATGAAGTTATTTCACGTTTCATGTGACGTATATTCTGCCCACAATGCATTCATTTTGCTTGAGATACAGAAACCGATTTGACTAGTACGAGAGATGTCGTATAGAGAAAGTGCAGTATTAACCATGATAAATCTGAAAACACAAAGAAAATACAAAGACGAAAACACGCGGTGAGTATATATTGTCAAAAACACTTATTTATATTTTTCTTTTGATATATCCATTCATTTTTTGAATGTTAGTATGAAATTCAACGCGTACAACACGTCCTTTGTGTGTTTGATTAAACCGTCCTTATACGTACATGTATGAACACGCTGCATCCCTAATAATGTTTATTTTTGTACAAGTACATTGCTTGTATCAACTTTTTGTTAATCAAATGTGTAAACTGTATACAGTATATTAATGTACAGTAAAACTGTATGTATGTACCGAATGATCGTGATCGTTCTAATTGATACATCCATAATGTTCTATTCTGAGATTTTTGGATGAAATTCACAAACAATTATAAATTGCCTGTCATGACGACATGTATTTTCTCTGCCGTAGCCGTCATTGAACACATTATTGATGGACCAATCACAACGATATTGATTAATGGGTGTGTGACAATAATACAGTCTTACAACAAATAAGGAAACGGTTTTATTTCATGAAACTGAATGCCCTTAGTAACCCTTCCTATAAATATGTTATAACGAAATGGAATAGCGTCAATTTCAAAATGTTACACATGACAGCTGAGTTTAGCAAATATGACGTCTCTTGTATCACTGTATGTAAAGAACTGTCATAGACTTACTGAAAACTAATTACTTTGTCACGCTTCCGGTGGATCATGGTATCACAAACTAATCACGACATGTTCCTGAACTAATCTATTTATTTTAAGTGTAGCACACGGTGCTTCCAACTCACTGTAAATGGAGGCATATTTTTGTCCATGGAATAGAATACTATGGAAACATGTTGGCAATATAAACACGTGACCTACCGTGATCTGTAGACTGGTTGAAATAATTGGATCGAATCAGATAATCTTGTTCAGCTGTAGAATCGGTCCTGTCAGTAGTAGACGATGATTATGGCTTCGTAACAGAACAATCAGACCGCTTTTACTGTAATCAGTCTGCGCCCGACTTACTGGAAAATTTGAGATCCGACACTAGACAACTGGTGCGTATAGTGAATCTTATTGAAATAATATACTGCATTAATTTATGCAAATATTGTATTAGTAGGGAGTAGGTAGATTAGTATGGTAGATTAGGAAACTTAATATCATTTAAAATTTATTTTATATTAAATACAATTGTAAGGAGACTTTGCTATACTTCTTCCTTCATTTTTTGGCGCATTAACGATGAGTGAAATCTGAATAATATACAACTGACATTTCCTGTTTCAGCAACTATGAAATCAGAAATTCTCGGCGTGTGTGCTTATTTGTAAAGATTAGTAGACATCTTACTAAAATAATCACATAACCTTTCTAGTTATACGAGATTTATCCACGAGACGCCAAGCTTTAGCAAACAAAAACAACAACACCTAACAAACCAGTGTTATGTAACTTTTGTTCTTGGGAGCGGTAATAATAAGTTCGAGTAACCTTGTCAACACTTGACATGTTTTGGCTTCTCAGGTATAACACATGGCTTATACTGTGCATTAATCATCACTGAATCGTGACGTGACTTAAATAAAATTTGCGTGATGTAAACCACATAAGTGATTTGTATTCATGGTGTGTATGGTGGCATTGCGTTTTTCTCTATATTCAATATACGAAAATAATCGAATATATAAGAATCTACCAGTATTAGAGCACGTAGAGACATGTTTAATTGATTTGAATATTGTTGGGTCTTATTACACATTTAAAACATAACATCATTTTATGGTTGGTATTTTTGTAATTTCAGATTCAAATAATATACTGCCAAAAAATCTCAACGTGTCAAATGATGATACTAAACCGGAAGATTCATTCATTTTAACATATATTTTTGAATAATATAAATTTAACATTTGTTTCCAGGAAGTAATTACCAGTCACTACTTTGTTAGTTGAGAATCAGAATGTTACATTTTCATCGTCTCTGTGTTATTATCATGCACATCGTTAGCATTATACATCCTTGTAAATAATTCACTTCAATGCGAGACTTTACTTGTCTTGTTCAATCATCATACACATTTACTCACACAGTCTATTGCATTTATGCTACATACACATTTACTTACAGCAGTCTATTGCATTTATGCTACATACACATTTACTTACAGCAGTCTATTGCATTTATGCTACATACACATTTACTTACAGCAGTCTATTGCATTTATGCTACATACACATTTACTCACAGCAGTCTATTGCATTTATGCTACATACACATTTACTCACAGCAGTCTATTGCATTTATGCTACATACACATTTACTCACAGCAGTCTATTGCATTTATGCTACATACACATTTACTCACAGCAGTCTATTGCATTTATGCTACATACACATTTACTTACAGCAGTCTATTGCATTTATGCTACATACACATTTACTCACAGCAGTCTATTGCATTTATGCTACATACACATTTACTACAGCAGTCTATTGCATTTATGCTACATACACATTTACTCACAGCAGTCTATTGCATTTATGCTACATACACATTTACTACAGCAGTCTATTGCATTTATGCTACATACACATTTACTACAGCAGTCTATTGCATTTATGCTACATACACATTTACTCACAGCAGTCTATTGCATTTATGCTACATACACATTTACTTACAGCAGTCTATTGCATTTATGCTATTCAATGCTTCAGTTTGAGTCTTCATAAACGTCTAAGACGAAATCACGTTGTTACCAAATAATGGTTAGTAGTTTAAGTGTATGTGTTTATCTAAAACGTTGGAGTAAGACAACAGCGGGTATGAACTAAAATTATTTATAACTATCGTATTACGTATAAACATGATGTAAAACAAGTAACACACTCATAAAAAAAACTGATGACCATAAATGTAAACAATAAATTACAATTAATATAATTGTTTATTTCCGTTTTTCTTTTTACAATTTATTCCCCAAATTTCTACTTTCCAGATTGGTGTAAGCAGGTTAAAGGCATTAGCGGAGCTATACAAAGCTACGATTTCCCAACTCGCGTCTCAGAAGACACTCCTCAAGATTCGTCCTGGTTGATTTCTGTTCCAAGCGAATCATTCGTTGTTTTGCACTTTTTGGAATGGGCATTTATAAACACTAAAGATCGACACTTCACACACGGTTCCTGTTTAGTAATCTACGATGGGAGCGATGAAAATGCAACGGTCATCGGAGAAGTAGCATGCGCGTCTGATAGTACTGCCCCTTGTACGTATACGAGCAATCACCACACAGTTTTGGTGAGATTAAGAGTGTGTGGGAATCGAAATTACAGGATAAAGGAGACGATCGATTAAGTCAAGGAAAGAGACTTTATTATACGATATAGACTACACGAATACTATACAGCTACTGCCGAATAAAGCGTGTGTTGAAAGTGTACACACAGTGTGGCCGGAAGTTTGGGCTTACGTAACTCGTTACTGAGTACCCAATCAAATAACTCAATAATAATTATCTTAAGTACATAACGTATCTCTTTGTGGTTTCCGCAGTTCGATTGTGGTTCCGACAAGAGTGTTCGAGGATGAGAAAGAGGACACTGTTAAATTTTATTTTATTTATCAATCAACAGAAGGTTAGAATTTCGATATTTTACACCGATTGAATAATTAAAAGAATTGAACAGCGACTAGCAATTGGGCCGTTGAGAATTGTCATACTATTGTTTGAAGGTACTGCATAGCAAATTATAGCATGACATCTGTATCTATATTAACATAACAATGAATTATACATTTGGTAATTACAGTTAGCAATTAATGGTCGAAGTTATAACTTTTTAGGAATTTATTGATAAACCACACTTTTTATTGTATTTCAGTATTCAATGAATGCGGAAACCACTTTTTGGCACAAGATGGTTTTTGCATCGGACCTTTACCACCTTTAGCAATATGTAACTTTTACATGCAGCATGCCTTAGATGGTACCATTGATATCAACTTTGACGGCTATCACGTGTTCGAAGTGTGTCCCGCCATATATGGTAATCAAACGAACGCACTCGTGATCAGAACACCGGAGACTGATATGTTTTTGAGCAATAAATAATAATTTTATTTACACTTTTAATTCGGACGAGGAGCAAGACTTATTTTTCACCAAATCTCACCTTTCTCAATACCAATGGATGCAAACTGAATGTACAATCAATGCAGATGAGAAAAACCGGTGTAGCAGATTTTATTTATGTGAACAAGGTAAAGTACATAATAAATCCAAAAAAAAGTTCGCTCTATTTTTATTGTGTTTTATATTAAGCTCTCTTAATGTTTTATGTATTATATTGTATGAGACATACGCTGAAATATTGGTCAGATTGTAATACTCTGAGTTGAAAGTGAATCATTTAGTCATAATGTTAAGGAATTTAAATCTTAAAATGATAGAGCGATTGGACATTATCATTTTTTTATTGAGTTATTTATTGTTCGTACATAAAATAGGTACGACTGGGTGGTCGAACACAACAGTTAAATTATGAAAATGTCTTGTTAAAAACGTTAACAATAAGAATCTAATACCAAAACAGGTCGTCATATCGGCTCATTTATGAAATATTATAAATACATATTTTTCAGATATGGATGAATGCAAATATGATCATGGATGTTCACACAAATGCGTCAACACACCAGGAAGTTATTTCTGCACATGTTCAGATGATTATATAAACGACAAAAATGACATTTCAAAGTGTGCCAGTAAGTATATTTAGTTGATTGGTCAATGATTTGTTTTTAATGAATAGCTTGTCCTGACAATGGTGTGTTTATACAATGTGTATATACCTATTATCCCCCATTCTACAACTAAACATCCATTCTCGTTGTAATAAAATGCTGACATTATACAAGCAGTATGTGTATATTTGTGTGTAGGAATATGTACAGTTGTCGGAGGTTTATTGAACCTAAGACTCGAACAAATGCGCCTTGACGTTCCTGGGAAATGTCCTGTTCACATGATTGATAAAGGATCTTGGAAGGAAGCTATTTTTGGATGCAGTCAGTACGGTGCATATATAGCTGAGAGGAATATGTTGAATGAGGTAATTTAGCTTTCTATTTTCTCGTTTTACCGTTTTACTCAACAAGACGTGACGGATTATGCAAATTTTCAATCACCGACTTCAGAGTCAGAGTTACAATGATATGTGTATTGTGTTTTTGTTATTCATCATTTATAAGCAGAATTCGACGTTCTGGGACGATTGAACTCGACTGGAATATGGATTAACGCAAGCGCAGATCACGAAAATAACACCATCGGTGGAGTTGAAAACCATAACGCAACATGTACTTTTATAAATAAACACGGCGTTCAACAAGCACCGTGCGTTACGCCCATGTCGTATATGTGCTTAGTGAGTGAGTAATTATTCATTACGTAAGATATCCAGACATGTTGTGTTACAAAACATATGTGACCTGCTTTGTAAATCGACTGAACATAAGAAGACGAATGCATTATACCTTAAAGGGCTGTGGTTGTCGCGCCACGCATGCGCCAAATATAAAAACTGAGACGTTACCAAACTTTAACTAGGTAATTCCTTTGGTGATTGGAAGGTATCGAATAAGTCACCGGCGTAATTATTGCACGTTTCACCCAGGTCAAAACTCGTACACGTAATTTTCATTAGAAGAGCGCAATGTATTGTTGGAAAATCAATGTTTATAAACACAAATATCGTACATGCGCGAAGCGAAGACCACGACCCTTAAAAAAATCATTCCGGTATATTTTTTCTCACGTGTTAGCTTATCAAAAGTACACTTGTGAAGATGACCAAAGACTGAATGCACCGATGGGTATTATATCGTCCAATCGATTCCCGTATAGTTACGACACTAATCATGTATGCAGCTGGCTAATCCAAGTTAAACAGTTCTATAAAATAAGGTAGGGTCAAGCAGCATGATTATAACACGATAAAGTAGAAATATCTGCTTTTAATACGCAGAAATATACGAACTGTTGTGCACATTCTGTGAGTCAGAATTGTTAACAATATAACAAAAACTGTTTGTACGGTTATACGCCACTTCACATTAAATCAGTTGCCATGTGTTTCTCAATACATATATAATACAGGTGG